TTATGAATGATACTTTAGACGACTAATCAGAATGTTTAATTTATAACAAAATTAATTTCAATATTTCTAGATTTATCTATGTCAAATCAAATAATTGAAAAATAGTCCTCGTTCTGTTTTTGTCTCTTCTGATAATATGGAGAATCATTCAAAATAATACTGTTGGTTTAACAAAATTTAATTTTAGTCGATCGCCATTGTTATAGTTGCGGGAATAAAATTTATGTAAAAATGTTAAGACTGCAAGGATATATAAAGCTGATATATAAAAATTTAATTGTAAAGGAATAGAATAAAAGAAAGAATATAAAATAAGATTAAAATTTAGATTTGAAAAAAATAAATATATTTATATATAAATCTAAAAATGTACATTAATTTTTCAATTTTTAAAATGCGTAAATATATCGTAAATATATTTGTAAAATATTGTCAAGGAAAGCAAAAAAGTGAGCAAAAGAGAATAAATAATACTAAAATTAAATTCAACTTTTATATCTTTCCAACCTATTATTTATCAATTCATCAGTTGGGTATTGTTAAGCGTCTCAAAATGTATTCGCTTACCACGCGATCTGAATTAGAAATTACATTAAATTTTAATAAAAATCTACAGTGTTTTTTGTATTTTTATTTTATTTATTTATTCTTTGCTGTTTTGGTAACAAGCAGCACAAAAATAGTGTCCTGGTTTTGAATGACGGTACCATTGTACTACTAATGAGAAGTTATATAACGATGGTAAATAAAGCATATTATATTAATTATATAAAAACATTTCGCTTCTAACACTATCGGTCTTCCAACTTTGGACAAAACAACTTCTAGTAAGTTCAGAATTGAGTAAAGGGTTCATTTAAAGAGTTTCCGACATTTAAAAATCGTTCCTTTTATTGATAAAGATAACCTTTTTGTTCTGAAACCATAATTTTTTAAATCTAAAATTTCCAAATTTGAATTTATATTCGCCACATTTTTTGCACAAGTAATGCTCTTTTAATACACTATACCACCGTTCTGTTTTTGTTACACTACAATTGAAACACTTTCGTTTATTTTCTTCAATTATTCCACCTATAATTATCAAGGAAATTATTAGTCAAATGAAAAGATAAAAAAGTTAAAAATTTATTTACTTATTTTATTGCCAATAAATTTAATTCTGCTTTCTAATTCCTTCGGATATTCAACTTTTTGTTTTCCTAACAATTCAATTTTATACCCAATTAAATTTATTTCCGTCCAATAATTTGACAAAAGTTTGTTTTTGTAATTTTTTATATTTTCTTTTAATAATTCTTTTTTGTTCATATTTTCTAAATTTTCTTCCAATATCGAAGTTTCATAATAATTATTATTAATGATAAAATTATTATTTAGGCGAATCTTAGAAATAAAGTTTTGTATTATTGAAGGCATAAATCTCGAATAATTAAATATAAAATACCTGTTTTCCTAAGTTATTTAATAATTTTTTAACGATTTCATTATTGGCAATTTCAATCAAAATTCTTCTATTCAATTGTGTGGTATATTTCGAACCTTTATTTAATTTTACAATATAAACTTTTTCAACAGGATATATTTCAATTTTACAAAATGATTCAGATTTTTTATTGAAATAATTTTCAATTTTACTTCCCTGATTTACATTCATTATCAATACAAAACGTTCCTTTATTTGAATATTTTTTAAATAAATAAATTCTCTTTTTCCTTCCCAATCTTCTTTTATTTTTAATCCAACCTCAACCATTCTACCTTTGATCTGGATTTTCACAAGCACAAACAAATAAGAGAAAAGAATAATAATAAATTTATTCATCTTAAATTTTAATATTAAAAATATTTTCTAAAATACAAATAAAAGTTCAAGCTATCTAACATAACTGATATTAACATAAATAAATTTGAGCATCTTGTTTGAACTCTATTATAATAATTTAATTTAGTTGAGACACTATAAATAAATAGTCTCATTTTGACATTTTCATCATATGCTAGGTTAATAAGAGCTGTTCGAAATTTCGATTTTTGACATTGGCAATCAAGATTTCGACCCGAGTATTTTGAAAAAAGTGTTAGAGATAAAAGGGGGTACAAATCTAACCAAACTACAAAATTTTATTTACTAATTATATTAACCAAAGTGCAAATTCAAAAATCAGTCGGTGAGAAAATAAATATAAAATAACATAAACACATTTCATAATTTACCGTCTTATTTTTTATTAATTTATTTAGCCACTTAGGGCATTTTAAAATTTGCACTTTTGTTTGTTTTTTTATTTGTTTATATTTTTACCTACCATATGACTTTAACTTTGTATGGAAATACATATTTGGGTGATTCGGAATATTGGTAACTACCGTTAAATACCAAAGTATGGTTCGGGCTGGGATTTATTAAATAAAAGCAAAAATAGGTGAATAACTTGAGGTAAAAATACTAAATAAAATATGTAGCCTATTTTAAAATATAGGTGGTATTTTAAATAAATTAGTATTTGGTATTTTAAAAAATAGTATTTTAAAAATATTTATAAATTAGTTTTAGTATTTTTTATTTAGTATTTTAAACTTTTAAACAAGTTTATCGGGGTCGGTCACAAAAATGATAATAGAGAGCAAAAATGGTAAATTAGAAACCAAAAAAACCAAAAATATACACCCCTAATGATGGAAATTTTTGAAATAAATGGAGAAAGGGATGATCGAAAAAGGAAATTTTTCTGCCTACAGTCATCCAAAATTCTCAAAATTTTAGCCTGCGGCGCATAAAAAATGAAGAAGTCTGCTGCTTGGACTTGCAAAATTGTCAAAATTTTCGCCTGCGGCGCTTAAAGGAGGAAGCCCATATCTTAAACTAATAGATGGTAGAAAAAAAACTTTAGTCCCGTCAAACGTTTACTCTCTTCATGACCTCTGTTATACTCATTACTCACTTTATCCCTTCATATCCACCTTAATCTCAAGGAGTCTAAAAAATTTTGGCGTTTGGCGTTTTGGCGTTCATTTTGGCCGATTTTTGGCGTTTGGCGTTTGGCGTGTAAACACATACGCCAAACGTTTGGCGTTTGGCGTATGTAAAAGATTTTTCATAACTTTGTGTATGCTTCTGCTACCCGGACTTCAATCAAAGTCGAGAAAACAGTTTCGTCATACTCACATGGTTTCGGTTTCGCCGGGTTGGGAAGATAATAGGATATATTTTTTAATTAATATTTTTTAATTCGGTATTACATTTTCTGTCCATTTATACGTGATATTTTTAATGAAAATCTGGTTCCTTAGATAGGTTAAAATTAATTAAAAACCCTCAAGCTTCGGACCAGGAAGGCACGTCTAGACACGAAATGGAAATTAATATTAATAAATTAAGCACCAATTAATATTCAAGAATCTGACGGCGAAGAGAGCGAGGATACTGAATTAGAAGGAATATCAGATCCTGAATTGGATGTGTAAACGAACAAAAAGAGTATTTTAAATTTGATGCAAAATAATCATGATTATTTGTTAGGAATATCAGATCATTTTATTAGTCTACTGATATTCAATTATACAACATTAAAGTAGTAGATCACAGTTTTAGATGAATAGCACAATTTTAAATTGTTTTCTGTGATTAAAACATTATTTAACGCATAAAATTTTAAATTTTTTTATTTTTTGTTGGGCATTATATCTAGAGGGCTCGTTTGTCTCAAATTTTAAAGAATTGTCATTGCCTTAATCACTTTGTAAAAAATACCATTGATGATATAGATTTCATAAGATTAGGTGATAGGCCTAGGCAGAAACTGGTAACCGCCATGGTTTCTCTCTCGTATGATCTATGACCATCAGTGACCCATAAGTTTGCCATTTTTCCTTGAAATTATAAGTCAATGTCGTTTGGAGAGATAGGCCCTAGAATGAAACCATGCACTTTTCATTGCATCATAACATAACTTTAACTTTTTTTTATAACATAACTTTTTTATGGCATCATAACATAACCTTTAAATTGCATCATAACTTTTTTCCAATAATCTTTTGAAATTTTCTCTTATCTTGTAGCAAAAACAATATTCTTTCATGTCATAAAAGCCAGATTCTATTATTGAACATTTTTCAAATATGCAACTCATACCAATTTTCAATGAAATGAGGTATACCCATATAAATGTTATTTTAGGGGAGAAAAAAACACAACATATGTTTTTGAAAATTTCATAATAAAATAATTTTTTAAATAAATATTTATAAATAAATTTAAAAAATCAATTGACATTCTAATTATAAACATGTCCTTTATCACACGCTCATTTTTAAATTTTATTTCAAAATTTAGCCCTGTCAATATACATATGCCCTTTTTGGATACATACGACAAAAAAGAATTGTCAGAAGCAATTCGTAACATTTTGTCAATAACATATTTGGTCACTTAGGGAAATTTATTTTTTTGCCAATCATATTTATTTGTGTTAATTTACTTAGTTTGCTTGTTGTTTTCAACGAATTTTAATAAATAGATGACGTTTACGCAACAAATTCCATACGGACACTGAATTCACCCAGAAAATTACGAACTAAATAAACATGACTTTTAATCAGAAATAATTTTAGAGTAAGTTAGATTAGCTCCTATCTCCGCATACAGGATTTTTTAATAAAAAGAAAGTTTAGATTCATGGCATTTCTAAATGCAAAAAAACTAAATGTTTATAATACGGCAAACATCTACCAATTTTAAAATATTTTAGAAATAAATTTAAGATATTCAATAAATCAATTCTCAAATTTATTGGAAACTAGAACTAGTTCCAGAGAAATTTTGGAACTTTGACATCACTGCTAATAGGAAAATGGCTATTTATAAAATATTTTGTCAAGACAGAATAGTAGTGACATAATATTATTCTTTACTAACACCGTGACACTATGAAATATTATAAGGCTTTTATAATAAAAGACAATAAATTCACAAAAGAAATCATAGTTTGTTATGTTGTTCATAATGAAACATGGGCTTTCATCCATTTAATGCCAAAATACAAGCCTAAAGCAATTATAGTCACCAAAAGAATTGTCCAGCCAATACAACAATTAAATCCACCACGGCGAAATGTTTCTCCACAAGTTTCATTCCTATTCCCAAAACAACCAGTTTCTGGATCATCTGCGCGTTTGCGACGAGAAAAAAATTGTTTCATATTTAATCGCTTAATGTCTAAAATAAAATAATTGCCTAATTTTAGTACATGATTTATTACAAGGGTTTGAATTCTGCTGATTTTTCCTCTTTTTTTGGCCATTGATAGGTAAATGAGAATGATTTTTTGAAGGATTTGTGGGGTCTTTTAAATATTATAAGGATTTTTTCTAATTTTATTGTAGTTCTCTTCGCTTTAGAAAACAATGATATGAAACGATTATTTACATTTTGATATTTTTAGAATTCAAAAAATCACTTACTATATTTTTTGCCATCCTCTTTCTTGCAACAAAAGCAACCATTATTTGACGGGATTTTAAAATTTAGAGCAAAAGATTTCCAAATTGAAATGGCATCGTCAAGAACATTACCCTCAACTTCTCTCTTTTCGGTAAAATGTCCCCACAACTTGTTGAATAACCCAGTCAGATAATTTTTGTCAAATAATTTTTCTTCCTCAATGAGTTTTGCATTTTTAAATTTTTTTTGAATTTTGCCATATTTTTTATCATGAAATTTGTTGTAGAGAGCCAATGATGTTTCTTTAACGTTTTGAACTTTATCAAATGCTTCCTTCAAGTTAGAAGCTTTGGCAATGTCAAACAGATTATTGAGGCGCTAAAATTTTTTTGTAGATTTAAAAAAATTTAATAGTAAAATTTTAAATTGGAGTCCTAACTAATATAGAATAAGATCTAGATGTACCCAGACTTCATACAGTCAGCTAATAGATGTACTAAAGTTCAACAAAAATAATAAGAAATACCAAAACATCCACATGTCAAGAACAAACTAACTCCTTTACCACTAATTTCATTCGAATTTTTTATATGCATTTCCTTAAGGTGAGGGTCACTTAGTTTCCATGAATTTCATTTTAAATCTAACAATATCTGCAATTCATCTTACCTCATCACTGTCTAAAGTTGGCATTTTCTTCTCAATCATTCGCAACTTTTGCTTCAGTTGGGTAGATTCTTCTAATTCTGCTGACTTTTCTGGTCCAACATGACTCCAACTATTTATTCCAGCAAGATTAAATATGAATATTATAATAATTAACATCCCTAAAAGCTAAGATTGATATGATTTTCAAATCTTATATTTAAATAAGTACAATGCCGAACTAAGCCTTATTCTTTTTCTGAACTTAATAAGATTTTTTAGTATGGTCGCACTCAAATAGATATTTATCGCTTAATTCTTGCGTAATCCTGGAATACTATATGTAATTCGGTAGTGCTATCTCATACCATTCAGTGGCTATGTCTTGTTGACTCTAGTGGAACAAACCAAAGGTGCCTTGCGGCATATTAAAGGCTGAAAGACATTAGCTGAAAGTAGCTTATGATTAAAGTTCCGGAATGCTTCTAATTTACTACTGACTTAAATCCAGTAATCTTTACTGAAGTCTTTCACAATCAATTAAATTTAATTATGATTTACAAAAAATTCTTTAGGTAAAATAATTAGAAAAAGCATTGACTTCTCTTTTAAAAAACTGAATTGCTTTAGAAAAAAGGAGGAAACATAAAGTGAAATGCCGAACATAGAGTGCATAAAGTGCAAGTCTATCCCATGCCATTCATTGACTTATATTTCATAAAAGATTTTCCCTTTGCGATTCTCTTATTAATAAGAATGATGCTATAAATTTTATTGATTTCCAAATTTCTTAAATGCTTTGCCCTTTTATTTATTGCCGAAATGCCGAGTGCAATAATTATTAAATTTTATAAAGTTTAAAAAAAAATATTTAAAAATTTTCAAAAACTGGAAAGGGCTTGTATGCCACAGATTAACAAATGTTCTCTGCATTTGTTAAAAAACGCATTGAGCGTTTATGGTTTTTAGTGTATTGTTACAATTTTTATGATTACATGTCAATTTCTGATTTTTTACTTGTTGTATTGATTTTACTTTTTTTACATGGTTTTTGCACCACTTTTATGTATTTTTTTTAAAATAACTATGGTTTGCTGATAAATAAACAAATTAAATACAATGAATTGTAGGCATGTTTTTATACAAACACAAGAAATTTTAGACATGTTAGTGCTTACAAAGAAGAGTGTTTTCGGTGTCAGTGGGACTTCGGGATGAAATTTGGTAGACAGGTAGATTATACCCTTTCTATTGTGAAATTTGAACCATTTTTGCAAAATGGTACCGGGGACCGAGTTATAAGCCCCCAAAGTTTTAGGATCCCCCGCATATAAACAATTTCTAGCAGTTACAAATTTGTTTAGGGCTGAACATTTACTCCTCTCTTACTTAACTAAACAATGGACATGTAGAAACGGACTTAATGCTTAAGATCGATAACTCGCTAATCAGATTTTTTTAAAGAGATCTAGTCCTGTTCAATCGCAGGCTTCAGTTTCCTGTTTTGGTGACACAATCGGAATTGAGAAATATTATCGGTGTGGTTATAACAGAAGTCAGGTACTTAGTATAAGTACATATTTAAACTAATAAACCTACTGTACTTAAAGTCAATAATTTTAAGACAAATTTAAAAAAAAATTTTAATTACAAAATTTTTCAATAATATTAAAATGTACAAATATTTTAATTTTTGAATTAAATTCAACATCTGATCATGATGTTCAGCATTTGACTATTTTTTAGAAGCCATTGTTTTCTTTGGCTATATGTAATCTAGTACAAATGGGCATTTTAATTTTCTGCCGTGTCTTTGTTTCCACAAACGACAGATTTCCTTTTTTGCTAGTTGCAAGGATGATTCACCTTGTGACATCTAAAAACTGCGAGTTAACCGATTTATCGAGAAAAGGCAAATCAAGTGTCACCAGTTAGCTCAGTTGTGGACGTTATCACTTTTCCAAATTACTTTCCGTTGTGGATGGATAATGATTGGGTTCTTGCTCTACAGTTGTTCATTGATTCGATTTCATGTTTAAACACGAAGTTCGCAAACCGATTTTAAAAATGCAATTGCTTAAAGTCAATGCAATTTACATAAGCAATCCGTACCTGTGACACCTCTGTTTCTCTACCAGCTTTTTCCTAATTTCACATTTTTATTTTGTTGTTATTAATTATTTCATCTGTTGTTCTGAATAATTTCTCTTGTATTATTTTAAATTCACCTGTTATTTTATTAATTTTTTTTATTTAATATAAATTATTTCATTTTAATTTTATTGTTAGCTTTAGCTTAACCTCAAATTACTCCTTATATCATTTTATATTCTAAAATAATTATAAGAAAACGTTATCAGTAGAGACAGGATTTTAGGCAAAATGCCTGTTTTTTTCCTAAATAGGCCTGATGCTGAAACGTCCAAATCAGGCGTTATTTTTAAGAAATATGCTTTCAAACAACTTTTATCGTTGCCTAAAATTGCCTATTTTAACTTTTTCTGTCATAATGCCCTATTTTGCCTTTTTTCAGCCTATTTTGCATATTTTTACTAAAATTTGCGAATTTTTTGGTATTTTTTGAGAAATTTGCTGAATAAAAATTATTTTTTGGTAAAAAATACATAATTTTTAATTTTTGTCAAAAAATTTTTTTGGGAAAAATTTTCATCCGAAAAATTTATCAAATTATTTTTGGAAACAAAATAATTAATATAAATCAATTTATATGTAATTCAGATCGTTAAAATTAATTTATTTAACAGTTTTTTGCTTAGATTTATCTTTTTTGATAAAATTTAGTCAATTTAGATCAGAAAATCTCGAAAAAATACTGCCTATTTTGCCTTTTTTTTCGGATTTTAGTGCCTATTTTGGCAGTTTGTTAGTGCCTATATAGGCGCCTATTTTTAACTTTATCGTGCCTAAAAATCCTGTCTCTAGTTATCAGCCTTTCTTTTTATACTAGCACATACTCATCAATTCGAAGATATAATAATTGTTATAATATCACACGTAATTTTTCATTGCGTAGTTTTTAGAGGCTGAATTGTTTTTCAGCCAAATATCTTTTAACAAATGTTCTGTTAGCTGAATTTAGTTCAGCTTCCAAAAATTATTCTGGCAACGTCCACGAAGATCCGAACCGATTAAATAAGCCAAAATATGAAATATATTAAAAAAGAAATAATAAGAAAATAGATATTATTTAAGAGTCAGATCTAATGCAATCACTTCAATACATACTATTTAATTTAAAAAATTTTTTATAAATGTATTTCATATTAATTAAAATATTAAATTAATTGTCAAAACAGTGAAATAAACGTACTATAATACATAAACTGCTTGCTCTGTATGATCGTGTTGATATTTTTGTTGTCTTAGCTGTCGCTAAGATTAAATATGTTAATTTTTCAAAGAAAAATCATAACTATTCTATTTATAATAAATTAAAATCTTGTCACTAAATTTGGAGTCGAAAATGGTCGCTAGTGAAGTCTAGCAACTTAACCACTCTACCATCCATTACTTAATTTATCAATCAAAATATATATGTATATTTATCCCCACTCGTCTCAGTTTTTCCCTTTCTTTTCTTCTCCCAATTACCAACTTTTCCTCACATGCCGTCATTAGGGGTGTATAAAAATTTCGCCTTTCGCCCGAAAAATCGGCGAAAGGCGAAACTCGCATACCCATGTTATGTATATAGGTTAGTTTGTGAAAATACGTTAGAGAAATTAAACCCCATTAGTTAGGAATATAGCTATTGTTGTAAAGCAACAAAATTTATTATCAAAAGTGGAAGACTAAGACATGACAGAATTATCAGCAAGTTATCTAAATGATTATTTACAATCTTAATTTTTGTTTAAATTAACAGAGTCGTATAATTGTCATTAATATTTAAATTTAAGTCATATTTGGATACTCAATCTTATTATAATTCTTTCGAATGCAATTAGACTTTTGAATCGCACTGTATTTAATAATTAGTAATAACCCAGAAGTATATGTTTAACAAAAAATAGTTTCTCAATACATTTATTGCTTTTCAAAATTTACCAACTGAGTATCGTCTATTTTTTCAATTTTTACATTGAAAATTAATTCATCGTAAAAAGCTCATTCAA